GACTCGCAGAAGTCTAAGCATCATAATAACCCTTATTTAGAAGAAAGTGAGAGGGTTCCTCGGTTATACAAGGCCAGATATGATAACACATCTTCTATTATTGGCAATGAATGATTTTACCTTAAGGAAGATTTCCAAAGTTTCCCTGGCAACAAATCAGAGAAATATGCTGCTGTAATGTTTTCTATCAGCATCAAAGTAATGTTATATACTGGAGGGCAAAGGAGAAATGCGGTTGTCAGCTCCCAATATCAAAATAGATCCTGTCACAAGTGTTTGATATAGGTAATTACATGAAGGATTAATTAATATCCATACACAGTTATGCCCACAATGCACTAAACGTTAAATCTTAGTACCTTAAACTGTACTTTACACAATGGTATTTATTCAATACTATGAAAGCTATAATATGCTTTTTTGATGCTGCCAGATGGCTCAGGCAGAGACAGATAAAATGTTGTTTAAGGGTGCACACACATACGGCACTTGAACCACTCCAAGAATGCCACTGATTGGGAACCACTTCACAATTTTCCCTGGACAGAAGTGTCCACAAGTAGAACCCTCACCTTTTAGGGATTGCACTGTTGCCAAAACACCAAGGGGTAGCCAGATGATCATGCTTTCCAGGGGTCTGTGCCCACCTTTCTGCAGGATTCCTCTGAGAGTTGGGGGGAGACCCAGATTGACAGAGAGGGTTGAAGTGGAAGGGCTGCCTGGTGCTGAAGCGCTGTGTGAACTCCTGCTTGTGGTTCCCAGGGGCTGTGCGCTCTGCCCCCTTCCTCCCTTGCCTTGCCCTGCTCTGCAAGAACTCCTGAACTTTTCCAGCCACTCGAGTATCTTGCATTGCCAGCAACTGCATACAGACATGTATGTGCACAAGGTGGAACCTACCAGACAGGGCTGGCAGCCCAGAGGACAAGGAAGAATTAACAGTTAATGGGCTAATTCATTTCACATTAAGCACAGAATTGATGGCCATTCTGTTCTATTAAATGCCCTCTGTGCAATGGCTCCATTTCCCACCCACCACTTTGCAGGTGTTTACAGTTTAGGAACATCTAACCACCAACCACAAGCAGGGGGCTACAAATACTCCAAGAGCCTGGCTACTCCACTCAGCTTAAACAAGCCTGGGACCTCTGCCCAGGGACAAGTGAAACTGAGGCGGGGCTTTCTGCTTCCCCACCTCTGTGATCTCTGTAGGCAGTAGAGTTTTGGGGCAGTAGAGTCCTGGGTGCATTGCAGAGCCACCCCATTACCCTGCATAAGTTTGGGGACGGGGGAAGGGCAGCTAGGGATGCCTGGAAGACTAACTAGACACCAGGCATGGAATGCACTGTGTTCTCACATAATTCTGAACCAGTTCAAGGAGGACAGACTCACAATATTTGTTTTTCCTGCTGTGCTTTTGAAACATTTCAGGAAGTTTAAACTGGTCTACAGTGGCATGTATGACTACACTCTTGGGGTTTAAAGTGCATTATGCCTGTCCACACCCTGAAGGTGGGCGTTTTAGAACAGCTTCAGTGCTCTTAACTACTGTAAACACTTCTGAAATTCTCACTCTAAATCCCTGATTCTCAACCTGGGTACTGGGGCACCCTGGGGTACCGGGGCACCCTGGGGTACCAGCCAGATCCTTTGAAAGGTGCCAAGAGGTGTGAAGAGATAGGCCAGATGTTTGGAGATAAGCAGATAAACAAAGGCTCAAGCTTGTCCCTGCCTGGACAATTCCCCTGAAGCTTGGCCCTGCCTTGACAATTCTCTACACCCACTGCCTGGTTTCTCTGCAAGGAGGTAAGCACTGTGATATATAAATAATTTTTTGAAATAGGGTGCCAGTCAATTCACAGAAGTTGTAAAGGGGTTCCTTGAGCCCAAAAAGGTTGAGAGTCACTGCTTTAAATCTTTTGGTTATAGTTAGTACCCCATTTAAGACAATAGCAGTGTTTATGCTTATGTGTACCAAGGGTCATTTGTACAATTGTGAATATACTTTGTTTTGCTATTAATTTATCATTTTGGGTGCAACCATTCAGGCCCATATCCAATTTCAGTATTAGGCTTCTGAGAGTTACTTCACCATTTGAAACCCATGTGTGTAAGTGAAACTTAGATCCTATTTTCACCTGTGGGACTAAACTTGCCCTTCTAAGCATGCTCAGATCAACAGTCTGTTCTCCCTTTTGTATTCAAGGCTGAAATATCATCCTGCTACCCCTAGTTACACTCTATACAATGCACAATACAAAATCATTTTTCTCCTTCAACCCCTCCCTTGAAATATTTGTAGGCTATGATCATGTTCCCTCCCCTCTCTTAATCATAGCTTAGCTCACTTAGCTTTTTAAAATATTTCCTCTTAAGTAAATTTCTCCAATCACAATCAGTTTTGTTATTCCTCTCTGGTTTTTAAATATCTTCCTTGTCCTGAGGTGCCCAGAATTGTATAATACATTCCAGAAGTCGTAACAAAAGTGTCATATATAAACACCTTTCACTATAATATGATGTTGAAAACTGCTCAACATTCATCAATATAAATATTAAGTGAAACTGGCCCTAACACCATTTCCTACACTTCCACTGGAAACCTTGATCCAACTCAATATTTTACAACATATCACTGTCCTTCTCTTACTCTCTTTCAGCTGGAAATATAAGTCTCACTAGCACAATGGGAATAGCCCAATTACTCTTCACTGAAAATAAGGGAGCTGACAGAAATAATGTTCTGTCATGCAATTGTTCCCCTGAAGCATTCTACAGCTGTGCCCTGACAGAAGTACATGATTATGTGACAATATGAACCCTCATTACATGAGGGTTCAGATGAAAGCGCTCCAAAGAGAAATGCCTTCAGTAACTTCTGTTAGTCCCTGCAAGGAGCAGGACTGGGCTGATGTTCTGTGCAGAACACCCCCCTCCCCCAGAGTGGGAGGGGAGGGGAGTTTGGTTTGGGAGAGAACCCAGAAGGAGCTCCCTCCCCTCCCTTCTCCCCCTCCTAACCAGAGCTGCATGGAGGGGAGGGGGACAGGGCTAGGGAAGAGAGGCTGCAGGCATGCAGCTGCCCAAACTGGAGCTCCATCCCCCAACCCTATGGACCCAACAGCAAATGCCTGTTGGATTGGGCCATGTTTGAGACAGCATGTGACACTCAGATTAACAAATGATCATCTGTAAAGCTGCCAAAACAGAGCAGTTGAACCTGCTCCCAATTATAGCAAGCCTTAACTGTCTGACGAAAATCAATAAACTTGGAAATAAAGGGAAGAGTCCAAAAAAGTGTAGAGAATGAAGATCAGGTGGGTTGGTCTTTGGAGGGGTTCATCATGCAACAAGTAATGTTAACTTAGCAAGGCACAGATAAATATGGTGAGTGAACCTGGCCTGGTAGCCCTGAAGGACGAAGCTCTCTGCTCATTCAGAAAACAAGTTCAACACAGATTTAAAAACAAGCCTCTTCATCAACGTTCCCTGGCCCTACCTTAAAAGCAGAGCCTCTAAGAATGAGAGGAGAATTCAGTTTATACTAGGGGTGCACTGATAGAAATTTTTCGGGCCGATCTCGATGGCCGATTTTTAATAAGCCATATCAGCTGATACCAATCCGATTACCGATATGCAGTCAGGCAGCTTGGAGAGTGATGTCTGGCTGGCAAGTCTCTTGTGGGGGAGGTGGGGAGGGAAGGGGTGTTAGGGGCAAATCAAGGCCCCCATGCTAAGGGAGGGAGTGGGGCTGGGGCAGGCACGGCCCAGCCAGGACAGAGCGCAGGACAGAGCCTTGAGTGGCTCATCCAGGGGGCGTGGGGAGGGAAGGGGTGGCTCCTGTCACTGCACGCACCCCAGGAGGGAATGGGAGGCTTGTACCAGATCTGTGCATGGAGCTGAGTGTGGGCTGCCGCTATGGGCAGGGGCCAGGGCTGCACCAGGCTCTTCCCAGCAGGGGACTGGGCCAGGCAGTGCTTTGGGGGGGGGGGAGCAGCACTGGGAAGGGGCCTATGGGTGGGCTGCAGCCACCCCAAAATGTGCCGTAGCCCTCCCAACCTCCCCTCCAAGCACTGCTGCCACCCACCCCAGCACAGCCCTGGCCCAGCCCCAACCCGCAGCAGCAGCCCATCCTTGCCCCATGCAGATCAGGTGCACATGCCCTCCATACCCTGTCAGGATGCGCATAGCGGTAGGAACCACCCTCCCTCCCCACACCCCCCCAACGATTCGTTCATGGCTCTGTCCTGCGCCCCAGCTGTGCAGCCCCTGCCCCAACCCCAGCCCCATTCCCCCCCCCACCCCGGGGGCTTCAATCTGCCCCTCCTTCCCCACCTTCCCTCACAGCAGGTTTACCAGCTGGACCAGGCTGCTCTCCAAGCTACCAGGCTGTGCTCCTGGCTGCCTCTGTGCCGTGCTGCAGCTGTGTGCATGGGGCATTTATTGGTGACATTATTGGCCACATCAGCCAAAAAGAGCTGACTGCTGATACAGTCTATTTTCCTTATATCAGTGCTGATACAGTATGGGACTGATGCATCAGTGCACCTCTAGTTTATGCTGTTCACTGAGTTTCAGGGCTTCTCATGACACTACCCAAGTAACTGCCCAGTAGTGCTTTTCATGATGTGGCCTGTTTGTTGAGGAGTGGCCAGACATTGTCTGTGCACCTGGCCCTGTTCATGAATTAGTTGTCCCACAATTACAACATTCAACTTCTCAGAGCTGTGAAGTCCCCTGGTGACCTCACAGTGATGCACACCATGCCTTCAAAACCCAGCAATCAAACTCCTGCTACAGCTCTGGTGCTTATGTTACAAAACACAGTAGCAAATAACAGATGCATGACGGTGCCATACGGCAATGATTCCCCTCCCTTACTTCCACCAGCTTTTCTATAACTCGAGGGAAGGTGGGGGGACTGATCATTCAGAAGCAGAGAGGCAGCTAGCCCCGTTGGCCTGAAGCCAGTCCGAGGGCCGGGCTGGCACCTGTGTCCCTCTTACCTGGGCTAGGAAAGAATCGCGCACATGCTTTGTGGATGACGTCATCTCCCCCAGTCTACAGAGCAGCCGATGGACCCACGCTGCCTCCTCCGAATTAGCGAGCGAGCGTGTGCGTGTGCGGGGCTGAAACAAGGCCCCTCCCCCACTTTCCCATGGTCAGAACCCGGATCTTGCGCGTCCCGCCGGAGCGGGCTCAGCCCGTGGAGCCGGTCCCA